GGTTTAAACTAGCACCCCCAGTTCCCTATGAAATTTATTTCAGTATTTCACCAATCATTAATAAATTATTGTGGTTCGGATTTTTTTTTCCATTACAAATAGACAACAGTTCATGAATTTTCGATTAAAACAGTATTGAATAAATACAGGTTTCAGTTTTCGTCAAAATATTAAACAATAAGCAGCAATCATATTATAGAAAATCGTAATTTTATCAATGAAAGGTTATAACTTATAACCACTTGATTCATTGCTATTTACAAATTGTATACAAATTTAAAATAATTGCAATGCAATTTATTATAGTATTAGAATTTAGGATGGTGTGGGTTCGAAGCCCCCTTCGGTTTTGTGTAACACAAATTATTCCAGCACCCTCTAAATTCACCCCCAATGTGCGCCTATATATAGAACACTGCAGGAACACTCTCGCATGCCGCCCGGAATCAACATATTATGCAAACTGGCAATAATGTTAAGGAAAGTATGGGATTCAGCGTCATGAGAGCAACTCAATTTTATATTGTAAATTATACTATAAATTATGTTGAATAAACGATGCTGCATGGATCCAAGTAATGTACAAACAGCCCTCATTTGGCGGTGCAATGTAAAAAAAAAAAAGTAGGAAAATCACATTTATGCGGATAGGTGATTTTGTATATCATACATAATTCAAACAATAAACAATAACATATTATAATAATATGCCAATTACTATAGTGTAGGTATTGTATTCAATATTCGTGTCGATAGAGCGTGCCGGTTCATAGGTAATTTTTGTCGCGAAATCGAACGTATATTAAATTATATCATTATTATTATTCACATAATAAATACCATAACGATATTATAATATAATACGTTGGTATATAATATATAATTTTCTGATTATGGATTCTTAAAACCTTGGCATCATCATTTATTTATAAAATAGTAAAATACCGATGCTCCTCTAGACCATTTTGTATTTATATTACAATCGTCATGTCGTACGACGACGATAGGTACACTATAATATCATATATTATTTTATTATAATATTATACACGCGCAACCTTCTCCTGCACAATATAATAATAATTGAATTCAAATAATAATAATATGATGCATGCCACATGGGTAGGTATAATGCGTGCCAATTACGCAAGACTGCGAATAATAATCATTGTAAATTATAAACCATAATATAACGAGGAGTTCGCGCTTATATTTTATAATAGCGGTATAAATATGTGTGTTTTCAAACAGTTCAAATAATAGTTATATTATGTACCTAATAATACGAATATTTATTTTTAATTCGTATATGCTGTGGATGAAAAACCTTATAACGTGTGTGTGATTAATAGTTTCATGTCAGCTAGGTACTTATATTGTATTATTATAAGAGGTACCTAGGTCTCGGTATATAGGTACTCACTTGGCCACTTATATAACATCGCTATTCGCTACGGATGTGCTACAGTCGTAGACGAGATGGTTCCTTTCTGCTTGTATAGCAGTTTTACAAATCAAATCACGTTCATTATATAATGTCACAATAATCATATAATTATTGGACCTGAACATCTCATCGTGACCAGAATCAGAATGTATTATTATTGATCTTTTCCACCATTATTCGAAACATTACACGGGCTTTAGGTACCATTTACTTATTTTAAGTTTTATTTATTTTTAGAACACTATTATACCCATATATTATCGTAAATTGTTTTCGAATATTATTTCAATGGCTTTAAGAGGCCAAAAGTCGAGTGTCCAATTTTTCTCAATATCGTTTTTATAAATCCATTGAGTTATTCTGGCCTCTGGGATAGGTAGTCTCTTTCATTAGGTAATGACAGTATAAGTCAATATTATAATTAAAACATGTTTTTTTGATACTTAAAATGTTTGATTTTTTGATAGGTTTTTTTGGTGCACTATACTTATGACAAGTCTTAAATTAATTAGATAATACTATAAATATTTTATCTGTGTCTAAATATTAAGCGGTCAGATATAACAAGGGTGGACTTGATATTATGTTTGTCAAAAACAATTTAGTTAATTAATTCGAAATATTATTAAATTAACAATTTTTAATGTATGACCATCAAAACTATGTATGCCACAGTAAAAACATATTATAATTACCATTTATAACAAGTTACAATAAGTTCCATTTAAATTGTAAAGAGACATAATAATTAGGTACGTTGAAACAATGTAAAGACCTAAAAGTAGTCATTTATGTACTTAAACAACAAAATATTTTAAATCAGTTGTAAAAGTGAAAAATAATTGAAAATATTAAAACTGCTCTCCTGTAAAATTTACTGTTTGTGACTTACTTACGTACAACTTTTGGCTTCTTATTGCCATTTATATAATATATACAAATTTAGGATATTATTATTAAGCCCAACTGCAGGTGCCTATATCGCGTATATATAGTAAGTATATACCTATACTATATGCTTGTCAAATGAATGTAGCCCTCGCGGCCTCGCTGTAATTATAAATATTAAAAGTACCTACTCAACCGAAATAAATATTCCTTTTAACGGTTCAGACTTGATTGCGTGAACGCTCTTTTCGTATAAATTATGAGTGCAGTATTTATGAGTGTTATTATAGGTATAATGAAGGCCCGTTGTTGTTATTTTTAATTTATTTTTTTATAGGAATCAATTAGGAAAAACTTGAAAATGTCATATTGTAGAACAATAAAGTACACAACCGACAAGCATTTTGATAGATAAATACGTTTTAAGTTTTTATTCACAATTAATATATATTATATATATACATACGTGTATATTACCTATACAAGTACCTAAATATTGTATATATATATTTTTTTTTTCTGTATATAGAATATTAAAACGCTTTGTAATACACACATTATTGTATAATAATTCATAATTATAAAGGAAATAAGTATTTTTCGTTCAAAATAAAATGAAAATTATTTATTAGAGCTGATAACATTATATTGTTTACAACATTATTTTCATCATAATTATTACAAAATATGTATCTGAATTCGTTCACAAAATATTCTTTAAATTTGGTTTTTAGTACAAATTATAACAGATAAGTAACTTATTTATAATTTTATACGCACAATTCAGTGAATTATAGATCGTAAATTCAGTAAAACAATAAAATTTCACAATACATGTTGTAAGTTATAACATCGAAAACAATTAATTCTATATGTATTTACAATCAAATACATTTTCAAAACTAATAAAAATTACATTTTACATCTGTGGTTGTTTAACATACAGATTAGATGAGCGAGAAAATAGATTAATACATATTTAACAGCCCTAATAAATCACAAACAAAATATACCCACCAAAGAAATAAAATAAAATATAATATGTTTATAAACGACAGATTTCTCATGAAAATATCTACGGAAGAAAGCTATACAAGAATAACAAAATAAATGCTCTAAAATATCGATCACAACCATTAAAAACTAAATTTTCTTTGGCATTACTGTCTTATAGTTACACTATATAAAATATAATTACACAGTAATAAATTATAGTCATCAAGTGTTTGGCATGAATGGCGGCAAAACTAATAATTATAATCAACCAAGTTTTAGCTACAACAGGTCAAAGTAAAAATAAAAAAAAAACTACTTTTTGTTTATAAAATCAGTCAAGTACAGGTACAGCAATAATTATTAGTACATACATAATACATATCATATATATATATAATATATATATAAGTAGTAATATAATTAAAATAAAAAATAAAATAAAACATAATGTTGTAGTAGGTAGGTAGTAGATACCACGTGATGTTGTCCAAGAAAATAAACGAATCATTCCGCGATTACGATGTGTGTTAAAATTAAGATTTTTTTTTGACCACAGGCTAATATTTAATAATACTAAATATAATAACATAGATTCACAGTGATACTATAATATAACCATATCTATCACTCATATTCTTAACTAAAATAACCATAATGATAAAAAAAAATGCACTTCTTAAAAAAAATATGTTTTGTTTCATACAAATATAAACCTAAACTTCAAAATCGGGTTTGGAAACAAAATATCATTAGCCATTGTACGATGTTATTGTTTTTATTATATATATAATTCTAAGCACCATAGAATATGCATTTTGCTTTTCTATACCTACTTAAAAATAAATTTGAAAATACTGTAAACTGGAAGGGTCATGAATTTCAAAAGTAAAATAATTAATTTTTTCTCTCTTTGATTTTTAGATATGAAAATAATTTTTAATTTATTGTATTGATCGTATTATAATTATATGTTTAGGAACATTTGTTTGACTTAAAATGTAAAGCTGTTTACAACTTCAATTAACGATCAAACTTGTTCCTACTCTTGAGTCTTGTTGATTTGTAGACAAGACTAATAATTTATGCCAGTAACTAGTAATTTCGTGAGAAGCTTATAGATAATTACGGTTAGTCATTAAAATCAAAACTGTTCGTAACGGGAGCTAAGACCGGGATGAATATTGCATAGTAAGTAATTGATTCACTTTTGAAATTCAAGATATTATATGAGCTCCACATACTAATTTACAAATGTATAATTTCAACTAACTATAAGATATGTAGTAACGTTTTCCCAAAACGTACGTATCTTAATGAAATTGCACAATCATGTAATAACAGAACAGGTGTGGCGTCCAATTTCATGCCAAGAATTACGATCTTTAGATTTTGGTAAGAAATTCGCTTGTTTGACCAATCAAATGGACGGAAAAAAAATCATTTACAAGAATAATCGTAGAAAATAATTAAAAGGAACCAATATGCAAACAATTATGTGCGACTAAAAATTATCCATGATTAGTGTGTTTATTATTATTATTTATCCGTACCGCATAAAATGCAAAGAAAATGTATAGATAGTTTTCAATACATTTTCGTACATTTTTTAGTTCATACTCCATAAAAGTACTTTTCTTTGGTCCAATTTTATTCACGCTACACATCATCATCATTGATAATCTTTAATATTGGAATGTTGGTTCCACGGAACGTCGTTTATGGCTGGCTGTAACCTATTATGAGGATGTGGCGCTCGCATAATGTCGTCTGTGGGTTGGATGTGATTCCTGGGTCCAGATTCCGGCGTGTATGTAAATGTCAGCCCCGTTGCATAAATTATACCATCGTTTCTCACTAGAGATACTGGTACTTGGGTTGGCTGCCTGACCCAGAGCCAATCACCCCTAAATGAGGATATATCTGGTACAACGGCCAACATACTCTCCTGGCAGCGATACATAGTTTCAGATTCAACATCACCAAACCATACTTGTAGGTGAGGTGTGAAATTTTCTCCAGTCAATTCTAACATAGCCACATCACCACCACCGTTCAAGTTCAAACTGTGAACGACTGGAACAGGTGTTATTGGCGAGTTCACGGGACCCATGCCTTCGTAAAACTGATACTCGGCCTTGTCCGTGCTTATAATCGTCCAACAGGCACCATCGTTAATCATTTCTTTATTGGGTTCCTTGGGACAAGGAGTAGCTTGAAACTGAATTATACGCTCTTGGGATAAACATAAATACATATGCTCTGTATCTTTCATGTAAAACGCACACTTATGCAGTTGCGACACAGGATCGTCAGCTTCCAGAAGAGCCATCTGTTTATCGACTTTCCTTATTATAAGTCGAGGCAATGCCATACCAGTGACACTACATACTAGCTTGATAGTACTGCCATAATGAACATATCCATCTCTAACATTGAATTCTTCACTCTCACTTTCATCATCGTCTAACAAGTGAATAGTAAATGCACCCCACTGCGTCGAGCTGGCATGAAAGTTACCCTTCTCCACGTGCAAGTATCGTGTACTGACTGTTTGGGATCTTAACCTATTGAATAATGCTACTTTTGTTCCACTTGCGATACATAAATCAGCATTTTTTAACGATTGTTTTTTCTTTGATGGTTTTGATATAACCTTTATTCGTTTACTATGGAATGTACCAATGTCATAACCAATGTTATAAAACATTCTAACCATCAACATAAAATGTTTTCGTTTGTCCGAATCTGAAATGAACAACGTTTTAGCAGCACAATACTGCTTTCCATTGTTAAGGTCAAGAGGCTGTAACTCTTGGTCAGTGCTTCCAATACCAATGAATGCGCTCATCTGAGAATTAGCTTCAGACACTCCTTCTCTTAATAGTTGTTCTTGCCGTAGTCTCCAGCCATCACCAAACAAATATATGCAAGGGGGTGGACAAAAAAATCGTTTTTCATTACCGTACGATTTCTGAGCTACTTTAGCATGGAGAATAACCAACACTAAATCATTTCTATCTCGTAGATACCTCTCCATTGCATCTCTAGTTAGACGTTGTTCCGGTCGAAACTGCATGGGAGCTTCGGGACCATAATGGTGAGGCATCCTTGCTGGCACTCCAAGAAGTTCTGCGGAGTTATAACAGCTTAAAGAGCCTACCACTTCTCCATCATCCGTATCACCATCTTTCTCTGATTTTAGCGTCCAAGTTCCCATAAATCTAATAAAAACATAAAAAATATATATTTAAAAGTGATTCAAAATTAAATTCAATACAATATTTTTAATTAAACAAAATCAACTTTGTAATTCAACAGAGCAGAAAAGTCTTAAAAGTTATTTTAAGATCAAAAGGTTGAATATAACAAAATTACGCACGCCTATAGGCTATATAGCTATATAGATAAACTATATAAGCCGATTAATGATAAAACATTGTAGTTCTACATTATAGTAGTTAGGTAGGTATTGTATAGTATTTTCTTAAAAAATTACAACTTTATACATTTTATTTAAAAAAAACAATATTAATTTAGAAAACAATAAGTTACCTTAAACATTTTTTTTAATGTATATTGTTCTGCAAGTTATTAATAAAATGTATAGAAAATAATATATCAATGGTATTCATAGATAAGACTAATAAATGACTTTTCCATAGGGTACCGTCTTTGTTTATTTTCCGATCAATGTATTTATGTGACATTTTTGAAGAACTTGTACCACTCAAAAAAAGACATGTCAACAGCAAATAACAATACACTAGGAACCACCTATAGGAAAAAACAATAGCTTTATCGTCCCCCCTCGCGGTCTGAACTAGTGATACAAAAGCACGTGCATCTGTGGTAATCTTCTGGATCTGTTAGTAGTGCTACTATATACGTATACCAATTGTAGTACCATGGTAGGTACCGATAGTAAATGTTACAAATCAAATATTGAAACAGAATAACTTTAAATATTTATATTTGTACACGTGTTTTAACTATTTTTAAAATAAAATAAAAATTATATCTCAAGTATTAACACTATTAAGTATATAGTCAGAAAACACATCATACTATCATAGTTATAGTTATGTGGGTAATTATATAGGTAATTATTATATTTTTATAACACTGTAAAATATTATCATATATTTCAGTAATTTAATTTATGTTTTCACTTTAACGATCTACTAATAACAATTATATTTTAATAAAAAATAAAAAAACTATAATATGTATTATTTATGCAAAACATAATATTAACTATACTAATAAATAGTAAATATACTAGTAAATGTATAATAGTAACAGTTTAGAATATTTTAATTTATTAATTAACACCATGATAAGCATAAGTATGCATTTTAAACCTAATCGTTATAGTTTTTTTTTAACATTGTTATAAATTCATAATAATATGTTCAAAAATATTAATTGGAGAACAAACCAATATTCTCCGACAATGTTCGCAAATTAATAATTGATACATGTTAATGTGTTTTATATTTTTATTTAACTTTTATTAAAACACAAAAACCTTTCTAATATTTCCTAATCAAACATCCTCCCCCGAGTCTCTGAAAACTGAAAAGTGATGACTGTGCACGGTGGTCCACTGAATTTTGATAATTCAAATTAATGTTATCGAACAACTCAATCGATATTTTTCCTATTCCCTGCCTACTCGCTATATACTATGGACTGAGCTTAACAATAGGGATATTCAATACAATATGTACGGTATGGAAATAGTATTAAGTGCGGTGCACAATGTGTATAATAACATGTGATAGGGAGGGTTGAATATTCAATTAATATATTGGACACCCTACATGCACTTGAAGGGATAATCTCCTTTTAAGTGCACAAAAATGGACCCCATAATAATTTAAAAAATATATTATACTATTATACTGCAGTAAAAGACTTAGTATAATATGTATAACGTATCTATATATTATACGAACGATGAAAACAAAAACAATACATTAGGTACCCTATATTTCTACGGCTTCCGAATGTATCGACACAAAAAAATATAATTATAGCAAAATATTATATATTGATATGTTATCATTCACATAATTTAAGAACATTTCATTTATACATGTAATATAATATATAAATTAGCTATATATTTATTTACGTTTTACATTTAAATAATTTTATCCGTCTCACGATTTATACGACGGCCCTTTTTTCTTTGTGAATATAGGTATAGGTAATACAACCTGGAGTAGAAATTTATTCAACTATTACAAAAATGATGTTATAAACAATTCTTTATAACCATAATATTTAAATTTAAGTACAGTTGTATTAATGTAATAAACTATAAATACTTTTTGTATTATAAATGTATATATTTTAATGGCAAAGTTTAATTATCAAAATTTAAAAAAAAAACATAATAAGATTCTACTGTTGTCAAGATATTTTGTATTTCTTACAGTTTGTGTTTCTGAAATCATTGTTAGTATAAATATTTTATGATTTCGCCAGGTCTACAGCAATGTGTGAGTGTGTGACTATATCTAGTATACATGTATATAGGACATAGGTAGTACATATCATAACTTATGATTCTTGTATGGTTCAAAAGTATATGTTTGTACTTTATTTATGGGATATTACAGATATTATTTCTATTACTTCTTGTGTATTTAAAAGGTATCTATTTTTTTAAATAAAAATAATAATTTATTACAGATTTTATGTAGGGTATCTAAAAAAATAATGAATCATTTCATTATATTGTTATTTGTTTAACGTCTATACCAAAATAAATTTAAATTAATATTCACAGTAAAAGGTAGTGCTTACGCCTAAACATTATTTAAGCTAGATACTTTGAGAGTATGTTTAAAGTTGTCAACGATTAATTTTAATAGTATATCCAACTACCCAAATAACATAAACTATAATAACGCTTAAAATCGTAGATTTTAGTTAAATAATAGTATAATTTAGATAACATTATATTTTAATTTAATTTAAAATACATTCATTGTCATTATCTTTTTATATACTATAATTGTCTATTACTATTAATATTTAATAATTACTATTAACCTATTATATTATTATTAGTTTTTTTTTTATAAATATAGATAGAAGAAAAAAAAAACATTTATTCACATAAACTATTAGTCTCTTACAATTTGTATCAGTCTAATTACATTGACTTTTCATTCAAACGATTGGGCTAAATAAATAAAACTATTCCAAGTATTTGATTCAATGTTTAATTTAAGAAACACTTTTTTCTGACTGATATTTTATAACAAGCATAAATTATTAAACGATATTAATGTATTATAAAAAATGAATTAAGTAATTAAAAATAAAAATAAATAATAAATGTAAATACAAAATATCTTGATTTTTATGACGTTATGAATTGTGTACCTAGCTTATTGTCAATTAAGTGGCCAACTATAGTTAGATACGTCCCAAAAAACAAATTATTACGTTCAGGTAAATTTCTTTCAAAGATCATTTGCGTCAAGGACCAAAGTTACTATTAGATGCTACAACCTACAGATTTAATATATCATTGATATCTGAAAATATGCAAGACTTTGTTTCGAATTTTTAATTTAACATTTCATTATGTATTTATGTATACCTGGATATATATATATATTATTTTATTTTTAACAAATGGACGATTTTCATTGATTATTGATTAAACATTTTCGTTATTGTATAATATGTAATGTGTATGAGTACCCATACTAAAGTATTTAAATATCACGTTCAAATATGCCGCATACAAAAAGTTGTAAAGACTAGTTTATACTCTTTTGGGCAAAACTTATCACAATTTATTCACCAGAAGGTATATTGAACGTAAGTATTATTAGTATTCAATCGTCAATCTAAACGGCATGTGGTAATTAATAAACAATTTTTAATTCTCGGGTTTAAGTATATCGTATACACTATAAATCCTCCCCAAAATATATATGCCACTAAACCATAGAATCGGTCATTTAGATGTTCAATACAATAATTAATTGTATCACAATATCTGCAGATAATATATTGTATTTAAAATTATATAAATATTTTAACAAAGCATATTAAAACATTCGTATACCTATTATATGATACGACTTATATAGAAGACGTGTAATAATATTTAATATCCATAAACACGAAGGTAATTTTAAGACGTATACCGATATGCACGGTGTGGTCTAAATAAAATTAGCTTATAAAAAAAAAATAATATTATAAATATTACTAAATAATTTTAAGCTTTTATTATACAATTTGACAATTTAAAGCTTCCGAAATTATAATATATATCATATTATACATGGTAGTTGCATGTAAAGAATGTTATTTTAAGTTTTTATTTAACTCTACGGCTAGTTAGGAATGTATTATTATCCATTCTATATACATTTTATGCACGGTCTTATTATTAATACAAATTGTATGCTGAACATTTACAATGTTTATTAATGATTATGCATTCTATGTTTTGATAAACCTTTATAAATTATACCTACCTACTTATTCTCTTATGAAACATTTGACTCCCTATTTAAAAACAATATAGTACATTGTACCTATTACCTATAGGTGTTATATAATAGTATGTACAATGCAGAGTTGAGATGTTTAAAACATTTTGTTTTAAACACTTGTTTAAAACATGTTTTAAACATCTAAATTGATCAAACATGGTTTTGTTTAAAACGTTTAAAACAAATGATTTAAACAACATAAAAAAAAACTGTTTACAACTGTTTAAAACAGAAAATCATAATTTATGTGCATATAACTTATTATTTGTAAGTTCATACTGGCAACTCCTATTTATTATTTTTTATTTTATAACAAATTTAAAATTTATAAAATGTATAATGATAATTTTACTTATTTAAATTACTAACACTTCAATGGTTATATAATATATTACTTCTAGTTCTGTAGTTCTGTAGGTAATATATTTATTAATTATTTATTTATTTGTTTAAATTGCATACCAATAAATAACATAACAATTACTAATTAGTAATTAGTAATTAGTTGTATTCCAACATAAATAAAAAAAAAATAAATTAATTAATATCAACTTGATAGGACATAGGTAACATAATATTTAAATATCACAATTGTCTTAATAGTTAATTGCATATCTTGGGGCCGATTTCACCAACCCAGTTAATCGGCCGAATTTGGCCGGTTAAATATCTGTTATCAGCCGATTAA